TGGTTGCTAGGATGGTGGCAGCCAGACCACAGCAACATTGATTGTTAGGATGCTGGGACCAACACCACTGGTCTATTGGTTGCTAGGATGCTGGCAGCCAGACCACAGTGCCATTGGTTACTAGGATGCCGGCAGCCAGACCACAGTGCCATTGGTTACTAGGATGCTGACAGCCAGACCACAGTGCTATTGGTTGCTAAAATGTTGACAACCAGACCACAATGCCATTGGTTGCTAGGATGCTGACAGCTAGAACACAGTGCCATTGGTTGCTAGGATGCTGGCAGCCAGATAACAGTGCCATTGGTTGCTAGGATGGTGGCAGCCAGACCACAGTGCCATTGATTGTTAGGATGCTGTCAGGGATCGCTCGCGACGCTGGCGCAGGCGCAGTATGCCGTCTCATGCGGAGATGCGGGCACTAGGTCCCGGCCAGCCGCGGCGACGGAGTCCGCGCATGCGCACTGGCGTTCGCAGGTGCATGCCTGGCACCAATGACAGCGCAGGGCGCGGTATTTAAATCCCCCCGTGCTGTCACTGGTTGCCGTATGGTCTTTTCTGTGATCTCTGTTCCTGAACCTGTTAGTGAGTATTTTTGACCCGGATTGCCTGACTTTGCTGTATTCTCCCACCCTGACCCCTGGCTTGCCTGACCCCGCTCCTGAATGCCCCTTTATAGACCTGACCTCCTGTTACTGACCTGGCGTGTGACCCGACCATTCTTTGTCTGCTGCTTTGTACCGCACCCCCCCCGGCTACCGACTCGGCTTGTCTGACTTTGCACTTGCTCATCCATCCGTCCATCCCACCGGGATCTCCCGGCCTCCTCACGTCAGGCTCTCACCCTGGGGGAGCCTCTGGCGGACTCCTCTACCACTGGTGGGTGTACCCGGTAGTCGCAACCTGGTCTCGGTACACTCCAAGTCCATCCCCACCATCAGGGGCCCTGGTGAACAAGTGATCCGGGACTTAGACTCCGCGCTCTGGGGAAACCTGACCAGTGGGTTGCTAGGGTACCGCCAGGTGGTCCCTTACAGATGCTGGGAGCCAGACCACGGTGCCATTGGTTGCTAGGGTGCTGGGAGCCAGACCACGGTGCCATTGGTTGCTAGGATGCAGACAGCCAGACCACAGTGCCATTGGTTGCTAGGATGCAGACAGCCAGACCACAGTGCCATTGGTTGCTAGGATGCAGACAGCCAGACCACAGTGCCATTGGTTGCTAGGATGCTGACAGCCAGACCACGGTGCCATTAGTTGCTAGGATGCAGACAGCCAGACCACGGTGCCATTGGTTGCTAGGATGCAGACAGCCAGACCACGGTGCCATTGGTTGCTAGGATGCAGACAGCCAGACCACGGTGCCATTGGTTGCTAGGATGCAGACAGCCAGACCACGGTGCCATTGGTTGCTAGGATGCTGGGAGCCAGACCACAGTGCCATTGGTTGCTAGATGCTGGGAGCCAGACCACAGTGCCATTGGTTGCTAGGATGCTGGGAGCCAGACCACAGTGCCATTGGTTGCTAGGATGCTGACAGCCAGACCACAGTGCCATTTGCTGAATATTTGTTGGAAAATCTGGGGATGCCAAAAACAACGACTTTGGGTGGCAATTTACCCGGCAAACTCCTGATAGCGCCGGTCTCTTGTGATGGGGGAGGGGTAAGTTATCCAAAATAGTGTAACATCCAGTCTGTCCCGCGTGTTCACGGAGTGTGAGCTGCAATCATCACTATTAATAATAATAAGTAAACTCCTATACCCAAAAAATACAATAATAATAGTACAAAATTAAGAAAATACACAAATAAATAAAAATAATCATAAATAAATACTTGTAATAATAACTAACCCATAAGTTTAACCCCCTAAAACCTAACAATAGTTAAACAACAACAATCAACCAAACAAGCACAACAACAACAACAAACAAACCAACAACAACAACCAAATTAATAAACAAACCAACAACAACCAAAACAACAACAAACAAACCAACAACAACCAAATTAATAAACAAAACCAACAACCATCCACCCAACCAAACAAACCAACAACAACAAACAAACCAACAACAACAAACAAAAACAAACCAACCATAACAAAAACAAAACAACCAACAAACCAACAAACAACAACCAACAACAACAACCAAAAACAAACCAAACAACAACAAACAAACAATAACAAACACAACCAACAACAAACCAAATAACAAACAAACAAAACAAACCAAAAACAACAACAAACAAACCAACAACAACCAAATTAATAAACAAACAACAACAACAAACAAACCAAAACCAAACAAACCAACAACAACCAACCAAAAACAAATAAACAAACAAAAAACCAACAACAACCAAACAAACCAACAACCAAACAAACCAACAACAAAAAAAATAAACAACAACCATAACAAACAACCAAAACAACAACAAACAAACCAACCAACCAAATTAATTAATAAACCAAAACAACAACACAAACAAACAAACAAACATAACAAACAAACAAACCAACAACAACAAACAAACAACAACAAAACAAACAAACAACAACAAATAAATAACAAAAATCAACCAACAACCAAACAAACAAACCAACAACAAACAAAAACAAACATGCAAACCAACAACAACCAAAACAACAAACAAACAAACCAACAACAACCAAATGAATAAACAAACCAAAACAACCAACCAACCAAACAAACAAACAACAACAACCAAAACCAACAAACCAACAAACAACCAACAACAACAAACAAACCAACAACAACCAAATTATAAAATAAACAAAACAACAACAAACAAACCAACCAACAACAACCAAATTGATAAACAAATCAACAACAACAAAACGCGGTGCGTTTTCAAGTGTGAAAATCCAAACGGAGCGGTCGCAGCTTATGCGACTCGTAATTAAATCACTTGCATACAATTTGGACGCACTGAATGAGCGCATTCGTGCGCCGTGCCGGTAGGCGGCGCAGAACTCCTCCTCTCTGCTCGCTGCGACCTAAGAAATAAATTGTTGCAATTTGCGTCTTTTTTTTTTGTGACGGCGCGGTGCGTCGTTTTCCCGTTGCGATCTGTCGCTAGTTTAACGGGTCCCCTGCGTTGCGTCCCTGCGCGGGTTTACAGCGCGGCGGACTTTTCGAAGCTGAAGGCTACAATGTGACAGATCGGCGAGCTCTGTTGATACGGTTCGGGTGTCGGATCCGCCGTGTATTTGCCGACGAATGATTTGTCTGATTTGTAGAGCGCATTGGCCGCCCCCCCCCCCCCCCATCAGTTGTCACCCCCAGGAGAGTCGGTGTCACTCCGCGACCTATAAACAGGCCGCTATGATTTTATCGCAATCCCGTCAGTCGGAAAAGGAGACGCGCGTCCGTCGCCTTGAAATAAATCGTTTTCTGTTGCGTCGTCGAAGGTGGAGCGATATCCGACCCTCATGGCGGGATGTCAGTGCAGCAGATGCGTCCGTTCTCTGTGACAGCGATGGCGGCGTCTGTGGAACGCTAAGCGTCGGGTGATTGTACGGCCGCCCCCTCCCCCGCTCGCTCTATTCCCCGGTGGCTGCGTAAGTGGCTCGTCTGTCACACTAATGGCCTGTAAGACAAGCAATTAACACTCAGCTTAACGAAGAGCGCGACACGAGATATTCCTGTTATGTGGCGGAATGGTTATCGGGGGAAAACATTAATGTGTCGCCGTGAGAGCGCAAAGAGAGCGCAAAGAGAGGGCCGTGAGAGCGCTGTGAGAGCGCAAAGAGAGGGCCGTGAGAGCGCCGTGAGAGCGCAAAGAGAGGGCCGTGAGAGCACAAAGAGAGCGCAAAGAGAGCGCCGTGAGAGCGCAAAGAGAGGGCCGTGAGAGCGCAAAGAGAGGGCCGTGAGAGGCGCTGTGAGAGCGCAAAGAGAGGGCCGTGAGAGCGCAAAGAGAGCGCAAAGAGAGCGCAGTGAGAGCGCAAAGAGAGGGCCGTGAGAGCGCTGTGAGAGCGCAAAGAGAGGGCCGTGAGAGCGCAAAGAGAGGAGCGAGCGCAAAGAGAGGGCCGTGAGAGCGCAAAGAGAGCGCCGTGAGAGCGCAAAGACAGGGCCGTGAGAGCGCAAAGAGAGGGCCGTGAGAGCGCAAAGAGAGGGCCGTGAGAGCGCAAAGAGAGCCGTGAGGGCCGTGAGAGCGCAAAGAGAGCGCCGTGAGAACCCAAAGAGAGCGCCGTGAGAGCGCAAAGAGAGGGCCGTGAGAGCGCAAAGAGAGGGCCGTGAGAGCGCAAAGAGAGGGCCGTGAGAGCGCAAAGAGAGGGCCGTGAGAGCGCAAAGAGAGGGCCTGTGAGAGTGCAAAGAGAGGCCGTGAGAGCGCAAAGAGAGGGCCGTGAGAGCGCAAAGATAGGGCCGTGAGAGCGCCGTGAGAGCGCAAAGAGATGCCATTTTTTGTAGTTATTTTGGGATTCTGCATTGCCGTGAGATCGCCGCATAGACACGTGAGCGACACCTTTTCTGTCCTTGTTGGACAAATGCTGAGTTCTATGGCCGTGAGAGTGCCAATGCAGAATGATCATCATACTTTGCAGCCTCCTGATTGGTTGTAGCCGCACATCTGCAGCTCCGGGCCTACTGTAGAGCACTCAGCATAGCTAGTGACAATCATTGGATTTGTGCAATTCTTGGGACCCCCAAGTGTCAGTGTGTCATTGTTCTGGACCCCCAAGTGTCAGCGTGTCATTGTTCTGGGCCCCCCAAGTGTCAGTGTGTCATTGTTCCTAGACCCCCAAGTGTCAGTGTGTCATTGTTCTAGACCCCCAAGTGTCAGTGTGTCATTGTTCTAGACCCCCAAGTGTCCTTTTGTGTCCTTGTTCTGGGCCCCCCAAGTGTCAGCGTGTCATTGTTCTATGGGCCCCCCAAGTGTCAGTGTGTCATTGTTCTATGACCCCCAGTGTCAGTGTGTCATTGTTTGCCCCAAGTGTCAGTGTGTCATTGTTCTGGGCCCCCCATCTGTCAGTGTGTCATTGTTCTGGACCCCCCAAGTGTCAGTGTGTCATTAGCTAGGACCTCCAAGTGTCAGTTGTGATTGTTCTGGGACCCCCAAGTGCCAGGGTGTCATTGTTCTGGGACCCCCAAGTGCCAGGGTGTCATTGTTCTGGGCCCCCCAAATGTCAGGGTGTCATTATTCTGGGACCCCCCAAGTGTCAGGTGTGTCATTGTTCCGGGACCCCCCAAGTGTCAGTGTGTCATTGTTCCGGGACCCCCAAGTGTCAGGGTGTCATTGTTCTGGACCCCCAAGTGTCAGTGTGTCATTGTTCTGGAACCCCCAAGTGCCAGGGTGTCATTGTTCTGGGCCCCCCAAATGTCAGGGTGTCATTATTCTGGGACCCCCAAGTGTCAGGGTGTCATTGTTCCGGGACCCCCAAGTGTCAGTGTGTCATTGTTCCGGGACCCCCAAGTGTCAGGGTGTCATTGTTCCGGGACCCCCAAGTGTCAGTGTGTCATTGTTCTGGAACCCCCAAGTGCCAGGGTGTCATTGTTCTGGAATGTTCATTGGGTTGTCATTGTGCTGGACCCCCAAGTGTCAGTGTGTCATTGTTCTGGGACCCCCAAGTGTCTAGGTATCATTGTTCTGGGTGTCAGGGTGTCATTGTTCTGGGATGTTCTAGGTTTCGGGGTGTCATTGTGTTTCTGGGTGTATCTGCTGTTTCGGGGGGCCGATGTCCCGATGTCAGGCGCTTCTCCTCGCACCCTGGGGCCGGCGGTTGTTGTTTGCTGTGTGTTTTCCCTCCATGCCGTTACCACAGGCTGCCTGTCTGTAATTTATATCTCCGGGATTCTTACATTCCCCTGCAAGACCCCCTCTGGCAGCTGTCGGCCGGGGGAGGGGAGCGGAAAATGGGTGTCCCCTCTTTCCGGGCTATTTTGGAGCACAGTGGGCTTAGTCCTCCTCGCTCTCCTCGGGGTTAAGCTAACAGTTGCTGCTGACACTTGTTGGGGCCGCAGACCCCTCTGTCCGCCATCAGCACCGCGCAACAAATTATATTTCACCAAGAAAATGAGTGCGCAGCGCCGACCCGGTACTGGATCCCCCAGTTCTGCGTCTTGGAGCCTTCAGAGCTCAGACATCTTTGCTGCACATGTCTAGGAGCCGATCTGTGAGCCGGGCAACCACCCCATCCCCCGATATTGACAAATCCTTTCCTTTTATAGAGTGATGAGAGAGTTCTGCCACCTCCGCATCCCTGGAGGGGAATACTGCTCCATCCAATACATGCAAACAGCCATCCTCCCCCTGCTGTCCTCTCCACATCTCTTCTTCATGGATATACTCTGTATTACCAAACGTATTGGCCCCGCCCTCCCAATCATGTGATTCACGTGTTCCAATCCCCTCCCAATCATGTGATTCAGGTGTTCCAATCCCCTCCATATCATGTGATTTAGGTGTTCCAATCCCCTCCCAATCATGTGATTCACGTGTTCCAATCCCCTCCCAATCATGTGATTCAGGTGTTCCAATCCCCTCCATATCATGTGATTTAGGTGTTCCAATCCCCTCCCAATCATGTGATTCTGGTGTTCCAATCCCCTCCATATCATGTGATTCTGGTGTTCCAATCCCCTCCGTATCATGTGATTCAGGTGTTCCAATCCCCTTCACATCATGTGATTCGGGTGTTCCAATCCCCTCCATATCATGTGATTCGGGTGTTCCAATCCCCTCCATATCATGTGATTCAGGTGTTCCAATCCCCTCCATATCATGTGATTCAGGTGTTCCAATCCCCTCCACATCATGTGATTCAGGTGTTCCAATCCCCTCCATATCATGTGATTCAGGTGTTCCAATCCCCTCCATGTCATGTGATTCAGGTGTTCCAATCCCCTCCCAACCATGTGATTCAGGTGTTCCAATCCCCTCCATGTCATGTGATTTCAGGTGTTCCAATCCCCTCCCAACCATGTGATTCAGGTGTTCCAATCCCCTCCCAACCATGTGATTCAGGTGTTCCAATCCCCTCCATAACATGTGATTCAGGCGTTCCAATGCCCTCCATATCATGTGATTCATGTGTTCCAATCCCCTCCCAATCATGTGATTCAGGCGTTCCAATCCCCTCCATATCATGTGATACAGGTGTTCCAATCCCCTCCATATCATGTGATTCGGGTGTTCCAATCCCCCCTCCATATCATGTGATTCGGGTGTTCCAATCCCCTCCATATCATGTGATTCGGGTGTTCCAATCACCTCCATATCATGTGATTCAGGTGTTCCAATCCCCTTGCAATCATGTGATTCAGGTGTTCCAATCCCCTCCATATCATGTGATTCAGGTGTTCCAATCCCCTCCATATCTTGTGATTCAGGTGTTCCAATCCCCCTCCATATCATGTGATTCAGGTGTTCCAATCCCCTCCATGGACACAGGTGTATACAATCATCCCCTAGGCATGCAGACGGCTTCTACAAACATTGGTGAAAGAATGGGTCGCTCTCAGGAGCTCAGTGACTCCAAGCGTGGTCCCGTGATAGGTGGCCCACCTGGGCAATAAGTCCATCCGTGACATTTCCTGGCTACTAAATATTCCACGCTCAACTGTTAGTGGGATTATAACAAAGTGGAAGCAACTGGGAACAACAGCCACTCAGCCACCAAGTGGTAGGCCACGTCACATGACAGGGCGGGGTCAGCGCATGCTGAAGCGCACAGTGCGCAGAAGTTGAATGGCCTTTTCCTGACACTCCTCTCCAGGCTGCGGTCATCCCTGCTGCTTGTGCACCTTTTTCTTCCACACTTTTCCCTTCCACATAACTTTCTATTAATGTGCTTTGATGCAGCACTTTGGGAACATCCAACTTCTTCTGCAATTCCCTTTTGAGGCTTTCCCTCCTTATGGAGGGTGTCAGTGATGGTGTCAGGTCAGCAGTCTTTCCCATGATTGTGATTCCTACTGAACCAGACAGAGAGACCATTTAAAGGCTCAGGAACCCTTTGCAGGTGTTATGGCTGAATGAGCTGATTAGAGTGGGACACTTTGAGCCGAGATTATTCCACCTTTTCACAATATTCTCATTTTCTGAGATTGTGGATTTGGGGTTTTCATGAGCTGTAAGCCATAATCATCACAATGATGACAAATCACGGCTGGAACTATCTTGCTTTGCATGGAATGAGTCTCATATATTAGTTTCACCTTTTAAGTTGCTGCACTGAAATAAATGAATGACCCAGAGTCTCATTTTTCCAGTTTCACCTGTACAGTGAAGGATAGATGATGGATAGATGATGGATAGATGATGTATAGATGCTCTTCATGTATAGTTGATGGATAGTTGATGGATAGATCTTCTTCATGTATAGATGATGGATAGATGATGGATGGTTGATGGATAGATGTTCTTCATGTATAGATGATGGATAGTTGATGGATGGTTGATGGATAGATGTTCTTCATGTATAGATGATGGATAGATGTTCTTCATGTATAGATGATGGATAGATGATGGATAGATGTTCTTCATGTATAGATGATGGATAGATGATGGATAGATGTTCTTCATGTATAGATGATATATAGACGATGCATAGATGTTCTTCATGGATAGATGATGGATGGTTGATGGATGGTTGATGGATAGATGTTCTTCATGTATAGATGATGGATAGATGATGGATGGTTGATGGATAGATGTTCTTCACGTATATATGATGGATAGTTGATGTATAGATGTTCTTCATGTATAGATGATGGATAGATGATGGATGGTTGATGGATAGATGTTCTTCATGTATAGATGATGGATAGATGATGGATGGTTGATGGATAGATGTTCTTCATGTATAGATGATGGATAGTTGATGGATAGATGTTCTTCATGTATAGATGATGGATAGATGATGGATGGTTGATGGATAGATGTTCTCCATGTATAGATGATGGATAGATGTTCTTCATGTATAGATGATGGATAGATGATGGATAGTTGATGGATAGATGTTCTCCATGTATAGATGATGGATAGATGTTCTTCATGTATAGATGATGGATAGATGATGGATGGTTGATGGATAGATGTTCTTCATGTATAGATGATGGATAGATGATGGATAGTTGATGGATAGATGTTCTCCATGTATAGATGATGTATAGATGATGGATTCTTCATGTATAGATGATGGATAGATGATGGATAGTTGATGGATAGATGTTCTCCATGTATAGATGATGGATAGATGTTCTTTATGTATAGATGATCACACTACATATGGCCACACTACATCACCACATTGCACCTAACATCTTGTGACTTGTCTGATGATTAGGGCGTTGTTTGTGCGTCAGAAGCCCCCCCCCATTTACTGGCACTGCTCTAAGTGAACGCAGGTGAACGCGTGGCATGATGACGCCAGCGCACAAATGTAAATCGCCCCTTAGGGCCCATTCGATCCATCCCTATGCATTTTAGTCGTAGCATTTGGCAGGTGCGTTGTTGTGCCGCTGTGTGTTTCCTTTGTGCGTTGACATGTGTTTTGATGTGCGTTTGTGAACGCCATCGACCAAGGCCTGTTCGCACGTGCGGCCATGCTATATGCGTTCCGATGTGCCGCCATTAGCTTCTGCGAGCTTTTCAATGCAATAAAGTGCAAGTTAGAAAAACTTTTTATTTTTTAGCGCACCGCACTGCAGGACAGCGCTGGGAACAAACGCGATTTTTATTGCGGAGATCCTGGGCACATGCGTTCCGGTGCTTTGCATTGCAGGCGGCAAAACTCAACAGTGTAAATGGGCCCTTAAAATTTTTGTCTCCTTGTAGCCATTACCAGGCCTGGGGCCCCTGCAGTCCATCGAACGTCTCCATTATTTGATGTTACAAGCAGGGGCAGACTGACACCTCATGGGGCCCCCGGGCAATAAGGGATCATGGGGCCCCTGCAGTCCATCGAACGTCTCCATTGTTTGATGTTACAAGGGTTTTGTAGAATAGTTTTACTTCTTTTGCAAAAACATAAAATTGTTACAAACTGAACAATACCTGACACAAAGACACTCTTCGCCCGTCAATGTCAGTCCACCGAAAGCGGAAAGCCGCGCCATTTTAATTAACAATCAAATCATCAAAGCAACATACATAAAAAAAAAAATTATTTTTTTTTTGAGGGAGGTATATTTTTATTTCATTTTATTTAGTGTTTTTTTTTTTTTTTTTTATCTTTTAATTTGCAATATCACAGTATTTTTTTTTTTTTTGCTCTCTCTCTGGGCACATTTGCATCATACATAAAGAAATATATATATATTTTTTTTTTTGTGGGGGGGGGGGGTGTTATTGTATTTATTTCACTTAGCGCTTTATTTATAAATCTTTATTTTTGTACCGTTTATTTTTTTTTTTTCTTTGCAACATACATAAAAACATTGTGGGTTTTTTTTTTTTGGGGGGGGGGGGGGGTAGGAATGTATTTTATTCCATTTTGTGGGTTTTTTTTCTTTATTCTTGTTTTAGCACAGTATTTTTTTTTATTTGCTGACTCTTTTTTTCTTTCTCGGGCAAAATACATGAAAAAAATTATTTTGAGTTTGTTTTTTTTGGGGGGTTATTTTATTTGATTTTTTTTAATGAATTTTTTAATTACATTTTTTGTTCAATTTTTCTTATCTTCATTTTTGTATTATATGACAATATTTTTTTTGCTATTTTTTTTTTTCTTTCTCTGGGAAAAATACATGAAAAAAATTATTTTGTGTTGTTTTTTTTTTTGGGGGGGGGGGGGTATTTTATTTATTAATTTTTAAATACATTTTTATTTAATTTTCCTTATCTTCTTATCTTTATTTTTGTATCATGACAATATTTTTTTTTTGCTATTTTTTTTTCTCCCCCACCCCCAACCAGCCCTGAGCAAAATACAGGAAAAAATTATTTTGAATTTTTTTTTTTGGGGGGGGGGGGTAATTTCATTTTTTTATTATTTAATTTTTCTTATGTTTATTTTTGTATTATGACAATAATTTTTTTTTTTGCTATTTTTTTCTTTCTTTGGGAAAAACTTTGGGAAAAAAAAAATTCAGCATTCAGCTAAAATAGCCACATTTTGCCTAAATCTCATAATTTTCACAGAAATTTCATGAAATAAAAACTCTCATTCCTTTTTGGCGGTCCTTATAAAAGCCGGTGGCCCGTCTCCCCTCTGCTTGAGACATAAATATATTGAAATTCCAGCCATCTGTGATGGGAGTCATTGGCAGGAGTGGAGGTCAGGATGGGATCTCCTCCATTTGGTGGTCGGAATCTGGCATTGGGGTCCTGGAAGGCTAGGAAAAGGTTCATAACTGGTTTTGGGGGCGGAGTACTTCCAGGTCAACACCCACTGATCCCGGATGAGCCCCCAATGTCCCGTATTTATGATGTCCTCCCCATGTGACCTCGCCGGGAACCAATCCTGGAATTGTGGAAGGCTGATGTATTTCCTCCTATGTACAAGGGGGGGAGGTATAAACAAGGTATAAGTGGGCACCTTATGGTTCTTAAAGGGACCTTTTTAGGCCTGAGCTGCTTAGATTCGTTCTCTAGAGATTTCCGAGGGGCTTCATAATGGGCACAGTGAGGGGTACAGACCTAGGAACTCAGTGCAGGGATGGTGGGAACCCCTCATAATGGGCACAGCGAGTGAACAGACCCGGGAACTCAGCACGGGGATGGTGGGCACCCCTCATAATGGGCACAGTGGATGATCAGACCCGGGAACTCAGCACATGGATGGTGGGAACCCCTCATAATGGGCACAGTGGATGTAATCAGACCCGGGAACTCAGCACATGGATGGTGGGAAACCCCTCATAATGGGCACAGCGGGCGGGGCCCTCTGGTGGAGGGTGGTACTTCTCTACAAACCTACAGTGCCTCCTGGGTGAAAGATGGTACTCCCAAAGTGTCAATATTTTGTGTGGCCGCCATTATTTTCCAGCACTGCCTTAACCCTCTTGGACATGGAGGTCACCAGAGCTTCACAGGTTGCCACTGGAGTCCTTTTCCCCTCCTCCATGACGTCATCACGGAGCTGCTGGATGTTAGAGACCTTGCGCTCCTCCACCTACCGCTTGAGGGAATG